TATATATATATATTTCAAACAATATGGGAAGGGTTACTTTCCTTCAAGGCTTTTCTACATAAAGTCACTCAAAATTAGTAAGACACTCTAACAAGGTGGATATGTGAAATACAATGAAGGGTAAGGTGCAAAAAGTCACCAAAAGCCTTAAATATCCAGTTTCCCCTGTTGCTATATTGTCAGTGGAAATAGATTTTCTTTATATATTTTTTTACATTTACATATACATAACATTACTCCCTTCATTGTGAACAAGCTGTAATGGTAGATTTAGTGTGTTCCTGTGTCTGGGAATGTCCAAGGAATTACAGTAACTTTCACAATAACAGAGAAGCTGAGCAGGCACAGACTACACCTGAGCAGTATATTGTCACTGTCCTGCTCTAGCCTGTAACTACCATCTGTATTTGCAGGAACATTTTAGAATATTCCTTCAAAGAATGCCTAATGACTGCCAGAAATTCTTTTGCAGGTTTTCTATATCAACAGCAAAGTGGATACATTTGCATATGCTCATCATAACACAGGTTCATTCCAGGTTTATTCACTTGTTTATTTATGATGTGCAAAGTAATTAAATCCATCCTGAAAACACGGTGACCCCATGGAATCAAAACCAGTTTGCTGCTGCAATGTTTGAGCCCCTTCAGTGAAATGAATTTAAAGATTATGATTTTGTTTCGTTAAAATTGTCTCATTTTTCTACACTTTATATCTCAATTTCATAATAAGAGCGTCACAAACACTGAACACTGAAAAAAGCATTACTGCAAGTCCTGATTTGGATTTCTGCAACATTTCCAGTGTGACATTATGACAGACAGCGCCACTTGATGCTGGCTCAGACTCAAAAAGATGCTGCAAATTCGGTATTTAGTTTGTAGACTCTACAAAGTGAAAGCACGCATATGTTTGGGGAAAGTAAATGACCGATTACAAAGCTTTTAGACTAAAACGTTTGCTTTTAATTGCTGTGACAGTTTTTATACTGTCGCTGTGTGGTCGAAGTTTCACGACGAGATTTCGGGGAAGAATGCTGGTTCTTTGCACCTAATCAGTTTCTGTGAAACGGGAACCCAAGACAGTTTTACCTGAGGTGACTGAAAGACTCTTGAAGGCCAACAGGAAGGCAACAGGCGGACCATCCATCCTAGCTGTGATCCATTAAGGCTCCCCTGGCTCGCTCTTTTATGGGCAAATTGTAAGATCTGTCGTATTTTGCCACTAAATAATTCCCCATCACGCAAGTGAGCCTTACAGCGTCTGCACTACAGTCCTAAACCGGCTTAATTTTCCATTGAAAACAATAGGCCGCGCTAATTGATTTTAATGGCTCTCTCCGCGACGATGCGCCCCTTATGACTTGGAGAGAGGTCTTTAAGATTATTATTATTAGTATAATTGCCATTACCCCCACACTTTCCCTTTGCGAATGGGAGACAGAGAAAGAATATCTTTGCCCTTAAGCTGAACAAATAATTATTAGAGACTGGAAACAAACAGACGACCGTCATTCACACGCGCGCCCAGTTGCGCGCACGCACGAACACACACATGTCTCTCCACCTTAGAGAGGACCCCCTCCTGGCGACCCTCATTCCCTCCGCCGCCCTCTTCGTGCAGCGTGCCGCTTGTAATTTATGCAAAATTAATTGATACATCTTTTATAATTGATGTGCTGTAAACTTAATGAGTAATTTATGTAATTAGTCAATTAAGGATAATTCCAGCATATGTTCCATATGCCCAGAAGGTGTGCTTTACAACTAGTTATTTGTCCAGGAGTTGGGTGCAAGCGAACGCTGCCGTAGACTACCTAATTAATTTTGTTATGCAGATCAGCTACGGTGTCTATTTAACGGCCCCCTTTGTGAAAACAGATTTAATATTGATCTTTCCCGGGTGTTTTAAGAGGATGCTTTTACCCGCCCTGGCCTCGGAGGGCCTCGGTGTTTCAAATCTCATTTTTCAGGCGCAGGGAAAACAGTTATTCGGAGAAAACAAAAAAACACAAGCGCAGCATCAACTGTCTTTTAAAATGTTCCCTCCTCGTCAAGCAAAGTGGCACTAAAAAGTCATTTTCTTTGCAATTACATAATGTCTTTAAAATATGCTCTCCGTTGACACGGTTGACCTTTTGAGTGGGCTTGAAGGACCGGGACATAACGGGAGTGATACACCGGCTAATTAATTGACACAGTTTTGAATATTCATACCTAATACAGCGAGCTTGCCCTTAATTACATTGTTGGACTTCTCTCTTAGGAGGCTAAATCACGGAAGGCTTAATTATTGTAATGTATTCGAGGGCCCACCGGGGCACCGCGGAAGACAGGAGCCGTCAAGGACCCAGTCATGACACCTGGCCAGAGGAGAAAAAACTACGAGGAGGGAGGGGGGCTTTTTGCGGTTCTCCGCTGAACAGAATTCAGAGCAGGGGATGAAGTTTGTTTACATCCTTGTAGGATTCACCAGAGAGTGTTTGAACAGACAGACAGCCGCCGGACTCCCCTCTCAGCAATTAATCAACAACAGCGCCTCTCTCTCTCTCTCTCTCTCTCAGTGTGTTTTTGTGTGTTTCTGTGCGAGCGAGCTGGTGTAATTGAGAGCAGAAGAGAAGCGCACTGATGATTGTGCGCAAAGGAAGACATGATTTATTGTTGGCAAAGTCTGAAAGTGCAATCGAGCAAATTTAACAAAGATGCTGTATTTATATATTCTATTCTTTACTATTTGTTTCCTTGACTCGAATGGGGGAGATTTCAACGCAAATCCACGCTCTTCGTCACAGTTCTTTCACCGCAGACACACAGATGACAAGGCAGTCTTTATATGTGAAGCAACTGAACACTTTAATACTATAACATTACATGACTTCTGGTGCTGTTTAAAAAATTGCAGGAGAGGTCAAAGGTCAAGTTTAGAGAAAATGCCACAAAACCTTTGGTGATTTTGTTGTCTTGCTCCAAGACATTTCAGGAGATTCGCCACTTTAAACGAAGATTAGATGTTAAAATCGGTCCAAAAGTGTCAATTTTGTCCTCGTGTACTTTACGTGGGAGTCTTTGATTGGTAAACAGCAAATTAGACGCAAAGGCATGTGCTGAACGCACATCCTCTCATGTTTATTTCCCCCACCGCCCCCCCCCACACACACCCACACACACACACAGCCCTCTGCTCTCTCATGACGTGTCCCCTGAGTGTCTGGATAATAGATAATAGAGCTGGCGACCTGCGGGGGTCTTACAAAAACGGCGCTCATTGAGTGTGAGCGTCGCACAAGAGGAGAGGAGCCACATCACACACAGACAGCAAAGCAAACCGGCCTCTCATATCATCATTCAGCCGCCGCGGAAACAAGAGCAACTCGGAGGACTTCTCAACTTTTACGCACGGAAATTTGACATTTACGCACGACTTCAAAAGCATAATTTGACGAAGACACGGACAAAAACAACTTATTTTTGGACGCGAGAGACTCTCGAGGATCTTACCTGAGCGACGGGCCTTTGGGTTTCACTATTAATCGATAAAGCAGGTAATATAATCTGATGGCTCAGAGCTTTGGAGCAGATCAGTCAGATGGAGACTGATATGAAGACTGGCAAGTGAACTCGTAAAACAAAAACAAAAAAAACGTTAAAAAAAACTTTAAAAGCATTTTTATTCAAGAATTTAAACTTCAAGAAAAGAGTAACCAGCTATGCCTCGTCCAGGGAAAAACTCTTACAGCGACCAGAAGCCTCCGTACTCCTACATATCACTCACAGCGATGGCTATTCAGAACTCAGCTGAAAAGATGCTGCCTCTGAGTGACATTTATAAGTTCATCATGGATCGCTTTCCATATTATCGAGAGAATACCCAGAGATGGCAGAATTCCCTGCGACACAACCTCTCATTTAACGACTGCTTCATCAAGATACCCCGTCGGCCTGATCAGCCGGGGAAAGGCAGCTTCTGGGCTCTTCATCCGGACTGCGGTGACATGTTTGAGAACGGCAGCTTCCTGAGGAGACGGAAGCGCTTCAAGGTGCTGCGTGCCGAGCATATGACCTGCAAGAGTTCCCCCATGATGCACTATTTCCACCATCACCATCACCACCCTGGCAGCAAGTTGGGCACTGCATCCAGCCACCACGACCACTCAGCCGCCCCTCCAAACGTGGGTCGCCTTCCTCACTTTCAGGGTTACGGGGGCATAACTTGCGCACAGCCCGGTGGGTTTAAACACCCATTTGCCATAGAGAACATTATAGGAAGGGACTACAAGGGTGTGATGGCCAGTGGGCTTCCCCTTACCTCGGTTATGCACCATCTGGGTTACCCGGTGCCCCCTCAGCTCAGCAGCATGGTCAATTCTATGTGGCCGCACGTCGGCATGCTATCAGAGTCTATGGGTGGCGTATCCGTGCCAGCATCATCCGAGTACGCACCATTCAGCGTGTCAGCCAAGGGCCTGTACCACAACGCCAACGGGCAAACCCTGCCAGCCGTTCCAGTGCCAATAAAACCCACCCCGTCCCTGGGCCCCGTGCCGGGTTTGACGGGTCTGCAGTCCGGCCCGGCCCAGATCTGCTCACCGTCCTCACTGATGGAGAAAAGCGATCTGCTAGAGGGAAAAGGGAACCCTCTACACCCGGCCCTCCTGCTGTCCTAACCGGGTAAATTGCAGGCTATTTTTGAAAGAAAAGAAAAAAAATAAAGCGAGAAAGACATTGAGATTACCCGAAATAAGACTTATCAGAGACGACAAATAGATTACGTGCAGCTGTAAGAACGTTGTAAAATTAAGTTTAACATTGTGCTGTGTAATGGATTTTTCATTAGACTCATGTTGATTGAAATCATGATTTATTTGCACAATTTGTGAGGGCATTTACCACATACTGTAATGTGGCACTGATAAATACAATCAGACTGGTAGAGATGCTAATCCCAAAGAAAGCTTTGATTTAGGAGACAAACAGTCCGAAATGATTTCAAATGCAAATCAACTGCTCTGTTTTTTGATTTTTGCTGTTATTCTACTTATTTTACTTCAATCATTGGCAGGCCTACCGGCTAAAGACAAGTAGACCTTCGTAATTTTTAATTAGGCCTGTTGCACTTTTTTGTGTATTCTCTAGCAGTGCATTAAAATGTTATGCTTGTATTATAACACTATTTATCTGAAGATATTTATAAAGAACTTAAAACCAAATCCTTCGTGTTGTAGTTATTTAAATAACTGTTTACATTTGCACATCCTTTCAGGGACGACTGTGTTTGAAAAGCTGAGGAAAAAAATAAATTCCAATAGACTCGGGCATTCTTTTACATCAGTGGAAACAGACATTCAGGTCCCGACTTTTATCTATCAATTCCTCAGATGTGTAAATAAAGAAATACATCTCTACCCTTATTAAATATTTTGATACTCTACAACAAGAAGTAATAACAAAAAGATCACTTCACATGCCACCTGTGGTTCTGTTTAATGCATAATAAATGATCAGAATAATAAATTTTTATTCCAGCTGTTTTTCTTTAAAAACATTATTTTCAATTATTGATTACAACTGATTACAGAAATAATATTACATATATATTTGGCTCTAACTATGAGATATGGAGTACGAACTGTGAGAGTTAATATTTTTCACTGAACCAACATACGATGACATAAAAGTCATTTTTTACTTTTCTTCACTCTGGAGTCATCCAAGGAAGATCTAAACCCTCTTTGAACATCCAGTTCAAAAACAGAGCTGAATATCATATTACATGGTGTAACTGTTATATTTCAAGAGGATCATTTTAAGAATACTTATTATTCTATTTAAGAACAAAGATAGCAAAAAAAAAAAAATCTTGCTATCACCTTCCATAATTCATACTTAAGTACACGCAATTGTCCACATTTGAGCATTATGACACAAATCACATCTGGCATGTGTACATGTGCTGATGCATGCTGTGTTCAAGTGTGTGTATGATCTTCCAAAAGATAGCAGCTCATATCCAGAGATGGATATGAGCTGCCAACATTTTGGACAGCAGCTCCACAACTTCAAAAGCAGGATCAAGTTTGCTCTTTTGTTTGCTCTGTTTAAGTGAAGCTTTGAAGCTTCTCCTCAACGGCAGCACAAAGCCCCAGGTTCAGCCCACTAAAAATGACTTATATTTAACCTCCTATCCCCTGTTTAGCATCCCAAAGGCTCTCACAGCCGACACTATTGTCACACCAGCCTCTGAACAAATAATTGAGATGCACCAGTGGAGGAGAGGCGTGGGAGTAAAAAATTAAAACCTATTCGGGTGTCATTGCTAACGAGCAGAATCTCCCTAATAGTGATGACCCTTATCTTTTCCTTTCTCATTCAATCCTTTTTATTTATTGTTATTTTATCACCATCATTTTGTTGTGCCTGACTTTTATTTATTTTATTTTATTTCTCTTTAGTTTTTTCTACCATGCCACCTCCTCTTTACTTTCTGTTCCATCTACACACACATACACACTTTCTCTGCAGGGTGTCTGTAATTTCTAGTTAAAGGGAACTGAGATTTCTACAGCACACCCAAACTGTCTGTGTGAAAAGTGTGCCTGTGCCTGTAGGTGTGTGTGTGTATGTGTGTGTGTGTGTGTGTGTGTGTGGGTGTGTGTGTGTATGTGTGTTGCTTTAATTCCCTGATCAGCAGGCCTCAATGTCTTTAATAGTCCTCACTGCATTAGTGCATAATTAAATGCCACTAATTAAGACACAATAAGAGGAGTAATAATGCAGCCATTACTACCCTCCATGATCCTCTGTCTTCACAACACCGGAGTTGGATGCCTCTGGAATCATAATATCACATGAGCTCCCCTAATGTGCACATGTGTTTATGTGCAGGGGTAATAGGTGGTATTTTTGCTGTTCGGTCTTATAAGAGTAGGAACTGTGCTGGTTGTGTCAAAGCATTTAAAAGAATATGTTAAATGATTTTCAGCGTCAAGAGCAGGTAGTAAAATAGAGAAACAAAATGCTTTGGATGTCAGCTGATTATGTATACCGGTTATAATTTAGATTATAAACAAAAATCTGTTTTGGCTGTGTGTTTTTGTTTTATATGGTAATAAAAAACATATTTTTGATAGACTTTCTTAGTTTTCTCAAAAGAAGCAAGTGCACTGCAAATTTCTCTCCACTCTGCTGTGATGGTTTAGCAGATATAAATTTGAACCTGATGCTTAATGTCAATAAACTGCAGAGTAATTTCATTAAATAAATTTTAAAATTTAATATGGTTTACCTCTTTCTCCAAAATTAAAATGTAATAACCACTGAGTCTCCTGTTTCCCGAGAGCAATAAAGAAATTTGTCTGCTGTGTGCAAATCCACTTACTCCATTTGGAAAAACATAAACTAATTATAAAAGCATAGAAAAATTGTAATTAACGACTCTTCTGCAAATAAACTACATATGGAAGAGCTGAAACCTGGAGCTTTTTTCTCTTTAGACACTTAAATCAGCACAGGTGCACGCTCCAGTGTAACACAGCCATTCCCAAAAGCTGAGGCATAAATAAAAGGCATAAAAGGCAATTAAAGAAGGAAAACAACTTATAAATATGTCTTAAAACACTGATCACTTACGACAAAGACCATATTCGTACCCTGTATATTTTTATTATTTTTTTGGAATTTGATTTAATTTGAACAACACAGTACGACGCTACATGAATTAATTTTAGCACTGATAAAAACATACCTGGAATTAATATGGGCCAACTCTTAACTCGGGACAAATGGTTTGACGTGTGAAATGTGAGCGTAAAAGAATAAAATGAGTCCTGTGAATGAATAAAACATTTAGGTCAGAGGTGGTTCACAGTCAACCCTCTGAAACATAACGTTGCGATCTTGAATAGAAGATGATGCATTAGTGGTAATTACCCGCACTTGATAGGGGCCAGGGTGACAAATTCTACATGCATTTTTCTTAATGATCAGTGAGGACAGGCCATCATGATGAGCAGCTTAATTCATCTGATCTGATGTGCTATTTCTTACTCATGCACACTGGCACGCGCGCAAACCTTAAATATTATTCTTTGTTCCAGACAGCAGTCTTTTATTCAATATATCAGAACATCAGATGATTTAGAAATTTGCTCCAATTTCTTTAAACCTATAATTGCCATACAAGGATTCATTGTTCATCCACAGCTTGACTGACCATTAAAAACATCAGCAGAGCCATTCTAACTATAGATGGAAGTATGAAAATACATTACAGCAAACTCCTTGTTAAAAAGGTATTTTTAATCACAGAGAGAGGAAATCACATAAATGTCATGAAGATGTTATTATTAAATGTTAAAATTCATTGATTTGTTTCAGAGTTTGCAGAAATGGGCTTCAACGATGGGGACAAAATTGTCTCAAGCCTGCTACGGTTTCTTCTTTCTTTCAAAGGTCTTTTTATTAGACAAAGGTTCCAATACAATGTATACAATAACACAAAATGCTTCAGAATATTCCAAAATTTCAATCTTGTTCCCACCCTAACCCTTAAAACAACAAATAATTGGCAGCCTGCTGCCCAACTAAACCAAAAAACAAACCAAAAAACAAACAGAAAAAAACAAACAAAAGCAAAAAACAACAAACACACTCATAAAAGAAAAGAAAAAAACAAGAGGGGAGGGTTCCTTGGACTACTCAGTAACAGTAGTTATGGGCCTTTCAAAGAAGTCCAGAAAGGGGGACCTGCTACGTTTTCTTACTACATTTTTACCTGATGGTAAATGGAAACAAGAAAGAAAGAAAGAAAGAAAGAAAGAAAGAAAGAAAGAAAGAAAGAAAGAAAGAAAGAAAGAAAGAAAGAAAGGCTATGAGAGATGTACACTGAACTTGTCAGTGGTAATATTATGACTTCTGATGCAATCTGAAGAGAGCTGTATCTGAAAACGAATCAGCTGCTCCTGGCATTCCCTAAAACCCGACTGAAAACCATTGGCAACCGAGCCTTTCCAGCTATCGTTCCCAAACTGTGGAATGATCTCTCTGCCCATGTTAGGATGGCCTCCTCATTGCCTCTTTTTTAAGACATGCTGGTAAACTCATCTTTATTCTTTGGCTTTTAACTCAAAGTGAGGTTTGTGTGTTCTTACTTTCTATTTATTATTAATACTGTTGTTGTTGCTGATTTGTTGTGTGGTGTTTTGTGCCTTCTATAACACTTTGTCCAATTTGTGTTTTTTTTAAAGTGCTTTGTAAATAAATTGGTAATTGGTAATGGTAAAATATATGGATTACATATATTCTGTATATGTCACTGAAAGACAGGGGTACAACAATGGGAATGTACAAGGAGTATGTGTCTTTGGAGGCATTTATTGCACTACTAACATACGCATACAGATCAATCTGGCTGCACAGAGCACTCACACACACACACACACTTGCAATCTTCACAAGAAAGACTACAAAGTGAAGTTTTAACACTTCCATTACAGAAAAGATTAAATACTGTTACAAAAGAGAAGGAAAAGACTTTCACCTGAAACAAACTCATTGTGTGGCATCTCATCGTATCTCTTATTTCCTCCCCGAAACTGATTTCTGATTTATGTTGTGAGAGTGAACACATAGGCTTTGTCACAGGAGAGAAGATTATCAAATATCATGATCACCAAGGTTAAACTGGTCGTCATACCAGCTTATCCAATTCAGGGTCGGGAGGGAGGCTGGAGCATATTCCAACTGCTGAAG